TCCAGTTGAGCTGTAGTGGTAGAACTGATGAGTTAGGGTCAGGGGCAGTGTCCTGCAAGCCTGAATCAAGAGTATTGAAAAGGATAAATTCCTTATATTGCACTCAAATGGGAATGGTTCTTAAAAGCCATATTTGTTTCCGAGACACTGTCACTGGAGAAGGCAGTGACTTGTTGGCTAAAGCAGTGGTCAGAGAAAAGCCTGGGGACCCAGACTGATCCCAGCTGTGCCACTAAAATGTTTCTTGTGACCTTGCCTGGGTCACTTAACCTTACGCCCAGATTCTTAAATGAAAACAATGCCCCTGGTTGTGATGAAGAACCTTGAAAAAATTGTTTTCAGCAAATTAGCACTGGCACCTGGAAGCAAAATGGACCCATCCCCTCTCCCGCTTGGCTACTTAAGACAGGAAAAAAGGTTAAAGGTGGTTTTTAGCTGTACAACATTTCTCCATTTTTCTTCAGGTCTCTTGGTCCAAATAAGTAGTCCGCTTATTGGAAATGTACTAGTTAATGAAAGCTCTTCGGTGGTAAATCATTTGAAATTGGCAATTGCTCTGGCGTGCCAAGCTTGAAAGAGGCTCTCTTCCCATTCTTTCAACAAAAAAATCAGCTGTGGTCTCTGACCTGTTTATTTGGAGGTAAACTCAACCTTGCCAAGCAGGAGAAAGACTGGGAAAAGCATACAGCTTCACTGATGCGTGCCGTGGGCTGGGGCAGCCTTCCTTGTTTGGAAAAGGCTTCTTTCTTCCTTAGTGTTTCGTTAGTGTTCTTACATCAGCTAATACATTAGTTGCCGTTGTACTTCGCACAGGCACTAATTAGAGAACCATCAACATTGGGGTCCAGAGGCTCCCTGACAATGCAACTGTCATAGTGGTGTCTTAATTGGTTGAGTGTAATTGTCATTAGGCAGCCATAAAGACATCTGGAGCTTTGGAGAAAAATCAACCCTCGCCCTTTCCGTCTCTGTCCTTGCTTCTCCTGGCCAGTGTTGGGGAGCACTTTGAAACTGCAGCGAGAGTCTGGTCCAGGTCCCTCTGCCCCAGCCAGTGTTTCATCCTCAGGAAAACGTCCGCTTCTGTAGCACGAGTTCATGAACATGGTGTCTGAGCGCCGCTGCTGTGGTTGCTTTCGTGTGGTGCAGTCTAGAGCCTGTTGCTGAGTCATCACGTAGTAGCTGCTGAAGCAGGGTATTTATTCTCCGTTCCCATCATAAAGTAGCACCGAGTCTTTTGTATTTGCCTCGTGAGTCTTTTTGCAGCAAAACATTTATGCTGTTATCATGCTCTTTGGCTGTGAAGAATGGAGTTGACTTAGAATGGGTATCTACAGAAAGTTTTATGTTTACCAAAATAACGTAACTTATTCTATGTTTTGTAGAGAGGTTTTAATCAGTGTGGAAGAAGTCTAATGCATCTTGATGTGTGTGTTCTGGGTGTCTCACTGACCTACAGCGGAGAGAAGGCGGTGCCTCTCAGACCAGTTGGGCTGTTCCCTGGGGACCCCTTCTCTCAGCTGTGTGTAAGGCGCTGTGATGGAGGCTGTGGCCCTGTGGTAGGGCCTTCACTTTCAAGTTGAGGAGACATGGGACGTAGCAGTGAACACAGTTTCTTCAGATTCAGGGGCACAGTAGTGGAGGCAGAGAGGTGTCATGGAGGAGGGGGGCCTGGGCTAGACCTTTATACGTTATTAGGCTTGAGCGAGGGCTTCCCTGGTAGGTCAGCTGATAAAGAATCCTCTTGCAATGCAGGAGACCTGGGTTCAATCCCTGGTTTGGGAAGATCCCCTGGAGGAGGAAATGGCAGCCCACACCAGTATTCTTGCCTGGACAATCCCATGGACAGAGGAGTCTGGCGGGCTGCAGCCACGGGGTCGCAGAGTCGGACATGATAGCGACTAAGCACAGCACAGCACAGGCTTGAGGGAGGTGGGTGGTTCTCCATCTGGGTAGCTCGTTGGGTCCCGCCCCCAGAGGATGAAATGTCATTGATCTGGTGCACCCTTGGTATTGGGAGTTTAAATGCATCCCAGGGGATTCTGATATGTGGCCAAGGTTGGCCCACCTGGCTGGGTCATGAGGAGGGAAGGGGCTCCAGAAAGGTGGGTAATCGGAAGCTGAGGTGCAGAGGCACCGTGCTGTGGAAGGCAGTGACCGACCATCCTGGCCACAGACCGGTTCCTGCTAAGGAAGAGGAGAAAACGAGGCTGGGAGAGGAGTGAGGCAAGGTAGTGGAGGGTTCTCAGGGCCTGGCTGACAGTTAAAGCTTCATTCAGTGTGGTGGTAAGGCCTCAGGATTTACAAAGAGCTCCCTGGTGTCAAGCGCTATTTTAGTTCAACTCTTCTGATCACTGGATCAACAGCGGGGAGCAGGACCCAGCCCCTGACCTTAGAAACTCATGGGTTCATAGGGGAGATGAACAGTCAGATGCCTGCACACACAGCTGCCACCAGAGGAGAGTCCACGCTGCTGTCGGGAAGATGGTAGCACCCATGGTCTGGTGTGGAGGGTGGAGGAGAAAGGGAGAGAGAGCCACGTAGTCAGGTATTTTTGAGGGCTTGGCTAGTGCAGGGTGGCCGAAGGGGAGTGAGGCTCGGGAGTGGGGAGGCTGTCGTGGGGCGGCTGGGGGGTGAGGGGTGGGCCAGGCCCAGAGCAGCCTGGGAGCGAGGAGAGCAGGAAGGGTGTGGACTGCACGTGTAGTAAGTAGTGTGGTGATGTGTGCGTGGTGGCACAAGGGTGTTGAGGAGCCCCCCCCAGTTTTGCGCTGGTGACCTGGGACAAGTTCTGTCTCTGACAAAATCAAGAACTTGCAACAAGCCAGTTTGGTCGTGGGCCAAGTTTTTTTGAGGAGAGCACGTGTTTAATTTTAGGTGAGTGAGTTGCAGCATGAAGGGGACAACTTCTTGGAAGAAAAGGCAGTCAGGAGCCTTTCCCATATTAATGGATGCTCCTCTTTCTGCAGCCTCTGCCCGCTGTCTCTCCTCTTCCCCCAAAAGAGAGAGGCAGACTGTATTTCATGGCTCACGGTTGTGGGGTGCAGCAGGTTTCAGGTTTGGATTTGGTTGCCATTGCTTTACCTTGGAACTCCTTGTGTAAAGGGAACTTGCAAATGGTGGGTTTCAAGCCCCCCATATCTTGCCCTCTTATCACCTCAGGGGGCACCGCAGAGGCCTGAGGATGAGTGGTGTGCTCTCATATGCAGGTCACAAGCAGCAGAATGACAGAGATGGACAGAAAGGAAATACATTTTCCTGGTTTGTGTAGTTCTTTCTCTCAAAGCTCCTGAGTCCCCTCTGTCTGTCACTTCTCTCTATTTCTGAATGATGTCGCCATCCTTCTCAGCCGCCTTTTCTGAATTGGCCAGTTCCTTTCACATGATTTAACCTCAAGAATCTAAGCGTACACAGCCTAGAAATTCTACACACGTTGTCTCTGAGTGTGTCTGTTGCTAAGCAAGTGGCCTTATTCCAGGGAATGGTGCAGTCATCCTTAGGGTGTCAGTGAGCCGGGTAGTTTGGGCGCAGTGGGCTGTGTGTTCTCTTGAGGGGGCCTCGTTGGGGTCACGTGATCGGGAGCGTTGCCTGGAGGGCCTGGGAGCCGGCCGCCTCGCTTGGCCCTGGCGACTGCAGCTCCTGCTTTTGCTTGTGTGTCACCAGGCTTAATGACTGTCATGGAGCGAGCGTTTTTGTTTGCTGGAGGATCAGTGGTCGGAGGCCCATCAGTCCAGTTTTAGACAGCACATCTCTCCTGCCTGCGTCTTCACACGCCCACTCCCCGGGTGCCATCTGCAGGGAGAGAGCTGAGTGGTCCAGCCTAGAGAAGGTGTGTGACAGGATGACCTCTGAATTCATGGTGTGTATATTGGTTGTCAACTAATAATGTGAGGAAAACACTGCTGCATTTAGTAAGTGAAGTATTCCCGAATCAGAGTAACTTTAGTTTATTAAGAAACCTCACGTGAGAAACTGATGTACAGCTACTTCATAGATGTATCATGTCATAGACTTCAGTAGTTAAGTAAGTCTCGGTGTTATCTTTTTCGGTTCTACACTTGTAACGTGAAGTGAAAGAAACCCTGAAGGAACTGTGGCTTGGCCTCAGGAAGACCGAACACCTTTCCCGTTGTCTGCATGTCTTTGTGTTTGTGTGGGCTCATTCTGAGGCTCTGACCCCGCATCTAACACGCCTCGGCATAGGTGCTTCTGTGTTGAAGCAGACCCTCTGCCCCAGCTCTGAGGAGCTCCGCATAAAGGCTCCGGTGGCAGGCAGCGCGCTGCCTCGTCATCTGGCCACTCCATTGTCCCCGGGGCCTGGTGTCTGCCCAGGTTCTGGCCCTGCTTCAGCCGTGATGGAGAGAGTCATTTGTTGGAGTGGCAGGAGTGATAGGAGAGAGAGAGTGCTCCCGTGCTCTAAGTGGGCGAAACCGGGGAGCATCATGCATTTCGGCAAGAGCTTTTCATGAGAAGGCAGCACTGTCTGGCTGCTGAAGGCAAGATTTAATTGTTTCAGCAAATCAATTAGTCTTTAGGGACTTTAATCAGTCAAATCTGATGCATGGATGAGGTATTAGAAAGCTTGTGCCTGTAAGACCATTAGCCCTTAGCGGTTCCCTGTCCTTGCCTGTGTGCGTATGTGTGTAAATAGTGTGGCTTCTACACATTTCTGTTAGTGATCCCTTTACTGGGAGAACTTAAGGTAGCAGAAGGAGTATAATAGTCAAAAAGGAAGGCAAGAGATCTTGCTCTTCAATGTTTTAATTACAGTATTCTCCTTTGAAGTTATCACCATCGTGCCATGAGAACAGGGAGCATGTTCTCAGCCTTTCTGTTACCGAGTTGCCATTTTCTCCTGTGGGGGTGACCCATGTAAATGGTGTCGCAGGAGTGGGTCCCCACCTGCCGAGTCTTCCTCCACGGGCGTTTTAAGGCTCCCACAGGCTCTCCACTGTGGCCCTGCTCTTCACTCCCCATTTGGAACCAAGTGTGTCCTTCTTTTCCAGATACACGTCAGGGGACGTGAGGGTGTGGGACACCCGCACCTGGGACTACACAGCCCCCTTCCTGGAATCAGAGTTTGAGGAGGATGAGCCTGGAATGCAGCCATATGTCTCCTTTGTGAGGATAAACAGCTCGCTGGCGGTGGCGGCTTACGAGGATGGTAAGTAACTGCAACCCTCCTCCCTGTTAAGAAAAAAAAAAAGCTTGACAAAAATTAAGCAGCTGTGGCCAGCTCCCCCCTGTAATCCCTCCATACGTACACGTGGGCACACACACATATTCACACACATACACTCATCCTTGTCTTTATGTGAAGAAGTTGGCCAATAACCCTCAATGCATTAGTAGACATTGGAACACAGCACCCATTAAAACTGGTGTTTAATTCCTGCTGGAACTGTCGGGCTGGGTTTTAGTGCCAGACACAAGGCTGGCCAAGCCATCTTAAGCAAATAACTTGTTTGGTGTAAAATATTAAATATACTTGGCCTACTTTTCCTCTTGGCTCTGCTTGATTCAAAGGAAACAGTGAAAAGAGGACAGACAGAGATAATCTTTTGACAAATACAGAAATAGAAAAATAAAAGTCAGGGCCTACCTTTTCCTGGCACTAACGCACCATATGAGATAAATTATGGTAATATGTTGTCTCTCTGGGACTCATAGAATTCTTTTTGTGTACTGGCAACTGTGGATTTACAGAACTGGGTAAGAAGAGTCCAATAATTTCGATGGCCATAATATCGTATACCACCTCTCATGCTCCTAACTTCCATTATATTGTGAAGTCTGAACCTCCAAAATCTCTCCACTTGTTGAAAGTTGGGACCATGAGATATTTCAGAATGTTAGTGTTCATGTCATGGCATGGTTACAGATCTTCAGAGGAAGGACAGAACTGTTGGGAACTTTATATGCATATGCTATTAAAAAAAAGTTAGGGCTGAAATCTTAAATATGTTCATTTTATTACTCTAACAACATGAACTCTATTCTTTGGGTTTGGCATTAGTCGGGCACCACTGATGGATCTTTCTTTCGGCCTCTAGTAATTCAGCTCTGGGGTGTGTCCTCGATGAGGTGCATTTGTTGAGTTCCTGCAGCGATAACAGAAGAGCAGCTTGAGTGTGATTCCTACATGCTGAATTACCAGTGAGGTCTTTTTCCATATAGCTATGCAAAGGTTTGCAGTACTTCTTTTTCCATATAGCTATGCAAAGGTTTGCAGTACTTCTCCATTAGAATCATACACTGCAGAACAATCTGATAGCCTCACCCTCACACACACACTCTCACACTCACACTTCTTCAGATCGGGAAACTGAGGTTCAGAGAAGCCAAGTGATTTCCTTGAGGTTGACTCGTTCATCAGTAGTGAATCCACAAATGTGGTGGTCTCTCCTAGGCCGTACCTGGGATCCAATGCTGTTTATGTAATACTCCACAGAGACACTTACAGGACGGTGCATCTGATTTATTTTCACGCTCACGTCTCATATCTCATGAGCTTGAAAATCCAGCTTTTGATGATATGTAAGTGTGCTGCTGGTTTTAGATTGTTGGTTAGAATTGTCTTTGTCACCCTTCTCCCTGTTGTGGCACAGAAATATTAGGAAACCTTATAGATATGCCAGAGGAACTTCTCTTTTCAGTAAGTACTTGCCAAGTGATTGCCATCATGTATTTTTAAATACTTGGTTTAAAAAAATTTAGTAGTTAAAATGCAAACAGAAAAAAAAAAAATGCAAACAGAGCACAAAAGTATAAAATGTAGAAGAAGAGATATCCAAAAAGAAGTTGAAGTGTTCCTCCCTGTTGCCCTACCTCTAGTTCCTCTCACAGTTTGCACACACATTGCTTTTTCACCTAGTAACATGTCTTGGGGTCTTTCTGTATTAGCGCTTATAGGTAAACCCTGTTCTCTTTTAGCCTGTGTAGTGTTGCACTATGTGGCTGTACGATTGTTTATTTATTAGGGCCTTTGGTGATGCACATCTGGATTTTGTTGTTGCTGTTATTAAAAACAGTACTGCAAAGCAGTATCCTTGAGCAGATACCAAGATGGACTTATACAAGTATATCCACAGGGTAACTTACTGGTAATCACTGGATTGGAGGCTGCGGATGCTTTGCATATTGATAAGTATTGCCAGATTGCCCTCCAAAAAGGTTTCACTAGGTTATAGTCTCACCAAAAGTATATGACAGTATGTATACAAAAGTGTAATGACTAAAAAAAAGAAAAAGTGTAATGACTGCTTCCTCATGCTTGTCTGCTAGGTGGCCGTGGTGTTTCACCATTGTTTTTGTTTGTCTTCATTTATATAATTGTATATTTTTTCATTGTGTTATTCAGTTCAGCTCAGTCGCTCAGTTGTGTCCGACTCTTTGTGACCCCATGGACTGCAGTACGCTAGGCTTCCTTGTCCATCACAAACTCCTGGAGCTTACTCAAACTCATGTCCATCAAGTCAGTGATGCCATCCAACCATCTCATCCTGTGTCTTCCCCTTCTCCTCCTGCCTTCAATCTTTCCCAGCATCTGGGTCCTTTCTAGTGGGTCGGTTCTTCTCATCAGGTGGCCAGAGTATTGGAGTTTCAGCTTCAGCATCAGTCCTTCCAATGAATATTCAGGACTGATTCCCTTTAGGATAGACTGGTTGGATCTTCTTTCAGTCCACGGGACTCTCAAGAGTCTTCTCCAACACCACAGTTCAAAAGCATCAATTCTTTGGCGCTCAGCTTTCTTTATAGTCCAACTCTCATATACTGGAAAAACCATAGCTTTGACTAGACTGACCTTTGTTGGCAAAGTAATGTCTCTGCTTTTTAATATGCTGTCTAGGTTGATCATAGGTTTCCTTCCAAGGAGCGTCTTTGAATTTCATGGATGCAGTCACCATCTGCAGTGATTTTGAAGACCAAAAAAATAAAGTCTCTCACTGTTTCCCCATTTATTTTCCATGAAGTAGTGGGACCGGATGCCATGATCTTAGTTTTAATATACTGAATGTTGAGTTTTAAGCCAACTTTTTCACTCTTCTCTTTCACTTTCATCAAGAGGCTCTTTAGTTCTTCGCTTTCTGCCATAAGGGTGGTGTCATCTGCATATCTGAGGTTATTGATATTTCTCCTGGCAATCTTGATTCCAGCTTGTGCTTCATCCAGCCTGGCCTTTCACATGATGTACTCTGCATATAAATTAAATAAGCAGGGTGACAATATGCAGCCTTTTGTGTTATTAGGTGCTTGTATTTCTTTCTCTGTGAATAGTTTCCTCATTTTCTTTGGATTGTTATCTTCTGTGGTTGAAAATAAGGGCTAAGGAAATAAGCTTGTCCTTATTCTTAAATACTTTTTCAATTTGTCACTTACTCTTCAATGAACTTTGCTTAAGGTTTATTTTTCTAGATAGTAGTTATGTATGTATGTATATTTGTGATTTTAATTTTTTAATCCATAAATGAGTGGGTTTTATTTTGTAATTTAATATATTTGACTAATACATTGACGTCAGGCTAACATAAAGTTGTACATTGCAAAGTCTTCTACCCAATTTTGTTCACTCCATTCTAAAGCAACCATATTTTTCAGTTTGTGTAGCCTTGCAGTATTTCTTTATTGTAAATACAAAGTGTTAATATCCGCTCTTACCCTTTCCTCCCCCCTTTAAACAAAAGATTGTTGTTGTCATTCAGTCACTCAGTCACGTCCGACTCTTTGCAACCCCACAGACTGCAGCACACCAGGCTTCCCTCTCCTTCACTATTGTCTGGAGTTTGCTCAAACTCATGTCCATTGAGTCAATAATGCCATCCAGCCATCTCATCCTTTGTTGCCCCCTTCTCCTCCTGCTTTCAGTCTTACCCAGCATTAGGGTCTTTTCCAGTGAGTTGGCTCTTTGCATCCAGTGACCAAGGTATTGGAGCTTCAGCATCAGTCCTTCCAATGAATATTCAGGACTGATTTCCTTTAGGATTGACTGGTTTGATCTCCTTGTTGTCCAAGGGATTCTCAAGAGTCTTCTCCAGCACCACAGTTCAAAAGCATCAATTCTTTGGCACTCAGCCTTCTTTGTGGTCCACATCCGTACACGACTACTGGAAAAACCATAGCTTTGACTCTACGGATCTTTGTCAGCATACTACTTTCTAACATTATTCCATACCTTGGCGTTTTTTTTTCCCACTTAATGACGTATCTTTTTTTTTAATTGAGTAAATTTGATGTATAACATTGTGTAAGTTTAAGGTGTACAGTGTGTTACTTTGATACATTTATATGTTGTAATATGGCCATTGTAGCAATATTTATCATGTATAGTACAGTATTATTGCCTGTATTTCATTATACCGTGCATTAAACCCTGTGATTTATTTATCACTTAACAAGTTTATCACTTGACAAGTGCTAAATACTTTTGTATTTTTTTGTTTGTACTTTTAAACACCATCAGTCTTATCCCTTGTGCCCCCTACCTGCTGGTAACGACCATTTTACTTTTTTTTTAAAAACAAGCTGGACTTGGATTTCACATTTAGGTGTTGCCATCCAGCACTTGTCTTTCTCTGACTTATCTTACTTAGCATAATATGGTCAGAGTCCATCCACATTGTTGAAAATGACAGGAATTCCTTCTTTCTCATGACTGAATAATATTTTATTGTGTGTTGTGTATTTTGGGTATATATACCTTGTCTTTTAAGGGGCTTCTCAGGTGGCACGAGTGGTAAAGAACCCGCCTATTAATGCAGGAGATGCAGGTTGGATCCCTGGGTGGGGAAGACCTCCTGGAGGAGGAAATGGCAACCCACTCCAGTAGTCTTGCCTTAAAAAATCCCATGGACAGCAGAGCCTAGTGGGCTACAGTGCATGGGGTTGCAAAGAGTTACTCATGACTGAAGCAACTTAGCACCATGTCTTTTTAAAAAAAATATCTGTTTAGCTGCAAGGGTCTTAGTTGTAGCATACAGGATCTTCAGTTGGTGGCATGTGGGATCTTAGTTCCCTGACCGGGAACATAGGCCCTCTGCCTCGGGAGTGCAGTCTTGGCCATTGGACCACCAGGGGTGTCCCTCTACTGTGTCTTTTTCATCTGTTCCTCCACGGATGGGCTTCTGAGTTGTTTCCATATCTTGGCTATTGGAAATAATCCTGTAA